CTCTCAGATGAGCTGCCAGGGATGCCCCGATGCCTGCCACCTTTCACACACCAAGACCTCAGCCCTGCTGTTCTCCTTCATGCTGGTGGGGCTTTAATCAATCGGATGCAGTGCGGGGATGAAATTAAATTGCCTGAGTTTTAGATTTATTTATTAATTAACTGCTTTTGTCAGACAGAGGTACCTATGCGTTTCCGTTGTGTAAGCAGGTCATGGTTTTCACCGTCTCAAGACTAGCTACAGTTTTAATATAGATCAATAAGATTTAGTTTGGATGTCAATAAGGATCACTCAGAACCACTGTGCGAGGAGAAGGGGAGACAAAAACAGAAGAGCATCTGTTTACACTCCTTCTTTTGACAGGATAATAAACCCAGCCAGCACACTACTTCGCTGCATTTATACAGCCTTCCTGTGAACTCTCAATGCATACCAGTGCCACAAGTCTTTAAGGCCAGAGCTGTGTTGTGATGTACTTTTATTTTTATTTTTTTGTCATGGTGCATGAATTGTCTCTGTAATTAAGGCTTAGCAGTACCACTCCTATTTTAAGGTTGCATAAAGCTCAGCTTTTTCAGCAGTGTGATATAAAGCAAAAGTTCTTCCCTGATAACTATTGTAGTTGTCATACGGAGCTAATTGTGACCACAGTACTTCTGCCCCCCTTCCCCTATCTCTCCTTTGTGGTGGGAATCACTGATTTTAAATATTTTCAGTGTTGCAAGCAGATTTTTTTTTTCTCAGTGGTTAGAGATGGTATGCAGATACAGGAAATAACAGCATTTTGAAGAAAATTATTTCACATCTATGAGCCTCAGTTTCCTTATCTGTAGGAAGTGTAAGTTTGCTCCCCAGACAATCCAATTTTATCAGCCTATCTGATTAAAGATCCCAGTATTTCACGGCTTATGTCCTCAGTGCTTGCAAAGCTCTTCAAGATTCCTGGTTGAAGCTTGATAGAAGATACTCTGGGGGAAGAAAAAAAAAAAAAAAAAGTGGATATTAATGATTTATTGATTGCAGATAATACCACTCTGGGTATACTGACCACTATTAAATCCCATTGCCTTGTTATATCTGTTCCATGAGAAGTCAACATTTGTATATCCACACTTTTCTAACCCTTTTGGGACAAATTGTAAACATATGAGTGTATTCCCTAGTAGATAATCTTTGAAACAATGCACTGTCCTTCGTTTAAAATGATCTCCCTGAGTGTTCTGTATTCCTGGCAGCCTTTTTGTTCACATGAGTGTGAATACACCCGTTTTAAATCAGCTCTTGATCTCTCAAGGCCAAAACCTGCAAATGACAGAGTAACTCGAGAAACACACGGTATTCTGAAATATTACAGCCAAATGTGCAGCGTAAACTGAAGGCATGTTTATTGTTTGTCTTACTTTCTCCTAACTATTTAGAGTCTGCTCTGGTCTGTCTCTTCCCCAAATTTAAAGCGGTTGCCTAAAATTTGCGGAGTTCCGCAGTGAAGCTGAGAAACACATTCTTTGTGTTAACCTAGTTCCGAAGTTTGTGTTTCCTAAGCACTTTCATAAATCTACAAGGGGCTGTAACGTATCTTCCCCTGATATTTTTAATCTTAATCTGAAATACTGGCACACAGATAAAATAGAAGTTTATGTTCTGCTTTCCTCTGAATTTGGGCAAGCAACGTATCACTCATACGGAGACGTTGAACTTTTATATTATTCCTGCCTCAAGTCCAAAGAACATAATTTCGACTGTTCACTGCAAGCGGATATACAGGATTGTTACAAATTGATGCCAAGGGGCCCATACTTGGAATCCGTTTTGTTTTTCTTTGAGTTAGTTTCCAAATTGCAAGGGTGTGCATAATGAATGTGTTATCTAGTCCTTCTGTTTTGTATTTTTGAAGGAGAGACAGCACATACTGCAAAGTGACTTGGCCTACTTGCTCAGGTTCCATAGCAACCCAGTATTGCTGTGAATTCATTTTGTACTAATCAATTAGAAATTTTGCTCTGGCAGCTGGAATGAAAGTTTATGGGCCGAATCCTGCTTGTTTTACTTGGATCTGCAGTTGCAGTAAATTCAATGAGAGACTTTCTTCGAAGGATACGGACTTGTATCTTTTGTCTCTCTCTTGGTTTATTTTTCCTGAAAAGGTCAGATTTAATTTTTGGCTTTAGCAGAGGAAAGGAGGCAATTCTCTTAAAGGATCCACAACTTAAGACAGCTTTTTCTTACAAACATAGCTACTGACATGCTAAAAAGGAAGGTATTGCTTTGCTTCCTCTGCATTTTAACTGGATGCTGTCAGTTGCCACACCTTCCATCCAGAAGCTTGTGAAATCTCCAGTTGCATCCACCCCAAAATTGTGTGTCCAAGAAGGAATTTTTGGGGGCATGTGGTTGTATGCACCAGTGCCCTTCACAGCAGTACAGCCCTTCCTTTCTCATTGCCAAAATTACAATGTTTGGACATGTTGAGAAGTCCATGCCAAAACCCCAACTTGCAACCACCTGGAAATGGTAGATGGTTTCTGATGTGAGCTGACATAGGTACTAATATTTTGCTTTTAGGGTCACAGTTCCAAATTCAGCTCATTCTGTTGCTTGTCTTTGTGTCTGGACTACAGGTTTCATGTGCAGATACCCCAGTCATGCTATCTAAAACACAGGGAGAACATTAGGGATCTCCTTTCATTTACCACATTTTTATTTTTATTTTTTGGTCATAGTTAGTCTTACCATTAACCTCCTTTTTATTTTTTTTTTTTCACTAGATTTTGGGTAAATGAGTCAGAGGCTTGAAATAATGTTTAAAATCTAGATTGTCTCTCAGTGGCTGGAAAAATGTGCCCTCCAGTTACAAAGAACTGCATGGGACTATGGGATGAGATAGGCTGAGCAATTTCTTTCCGTTTTACTCATCTTCACACCAGAATGCAGGCTCTGACTATGCAGCATCAGAAATACGTATCATCAGCACAACAAATCAAAGACATGATTTAAACTTTATAATATGTCAGGGCTCATCAAAACTCCTTCGTGACTAGAGGATGATGCAGAGTAGATTTGGCTTCTTCAGGAGCACGTCAGAGCTAGAGCTGTATCTCCAGAGCTGTTTGCATGTTAGGGTTTGTGACATGGCAAAGCAGAGGTGTGTGGGATGGAGTATGATATAATCTCACCCGTGTATGAAGATTGCCTTGCCCAAAGGAGCACATAAAAGAAATTAGTCTCTGCATTTACTTGAATCCAGAACTGGAAGCAGCACCTGTCTTTTTCATGGGGTCATGACAGTAGTCTCTTGCTATCTGCATTTCTGTAGATTTCTTCCTTTTATTGTCTGATGATTTTTCAGGAATTTCCTTCTGCAATCCCCTTAAGGGTGTGCTGTCACCCTGTTTCAGAGGCAAACAGCTGAGGCTGAAGTGGGCTAGACACAGGATGTTGAGGCACTGATGGTGCCTGAATTGCTACTCAGAGCCTAATAGTTGGGCTTTCTTCTGCTCCCATCCATTAAACATCTCCACAGTACCTTGGAGAATTTGCATGTAGTCCCTTTTTCTGCTGTCTCTCTCCAGCTCCTACCTATAGTTAACAGGAAGGTGACAACCTTGGTATGCTCTGAGTGTAGTCCCATGTTCTCTCTGGCTCCCAGGCTTTTCCCCCAACACTACAATTTCTGCTCTGATAACAATTTTCACTTTATAAGATCTGCATATGCCAGGGAGGTAGCACCCAAGAGCTCATCAGGAGAAAAACTGATGACCAAGGTGGAAGGAAACTTAGCAGAACCAGCTTTGGGGGATTTAAATGTTAAACCCGCTTCATTGTTTTGGGTTTGTGTTTGCTTTTCTAAAGCATTCATGTCGTGTTTAGTCAAAAATACTGCATGGCTATGTTGTGTGCTATGTTATGTTCAAAATGAGATGTTTTATATTTATTTTTTTCTTTTTACATTTTCTTGTGTTGTTATTCTTTTATGGATTTTGCATGATAACATTTCAGTATATGGGAAAATGTGTGAAATTAATCATAATTGTTTTCATATCAAATGTATCAAGGGGAAATACTTGTGTTTAAATGCATTGTCCTGTATTTTAACCTGTTACATGTCTGTGTTCATATCCCCCTGTATTTACTGATGTACTGCAAATACCTGACCTCCACATTTCCCCAATAGTTGTTTTTTTTTTTCACAAGCTCGGGGTTTCTGATTTCCCAGTCGATCTGGGAAATCCAAAATCTGATTGGAATAAGACCCTGATACCACTAATTACTTACAGTATGTTTTTTCAAATTGGATCTACTTAATCTCCGTGTACCCGATCCAATTTCCTTCAAGTCACTAGAAGCTCGTCCTTCGGCGGATGCAGCTTTATGTAAAATGTTATCTAAAAACCTAATTTGCCACATGTCTAGTAATTTAATCCACAAAACGAACCTGCACTGAGTTTTTCAGGGTGATGGTTCACTGACACGCTTCAATGCCACACAGCCATGCCTGGCTCTGTCCTCCACCCTCGTGAGGTGGTTTTCAGGCTGTTTGCCTTATAAACTCGATACAGGCATGCTTAAAGACAATCCCTGAGGAGAGTTGACTGTTTTCAGGTAAAACCTGAAAAAAAATTACCTCATAAAACATGAGGCAAAACTTTCCCTTCAGAACCACGCAGCCTGGTGTCAATACACAGCTGCGCTGGCAGCGCCCACATTGCGGCGAGAAGCATACCTGCCACCAGACCCCCAAAACCCTAAAAAATGATGGATATTACTTTTAAGGGGCTTCTAGACCACGGGACAGCGGCAGCCCCCTCAGCGCGACAGCTAACACGAGTCGGCCGCCCTCCAGCGGGCCAGGGGGCCGCTCGCCGTGCCCGCGCTCAACTTTTTTTTCCACATTTGTCTGTTCGTGTGCGTCTCTCTGTGCCTGTGCTTTGCCGTTGACTCCCTTTATTATCATCATTTTCTCTCTCTCTCTCTCTGTGTCTGTGTGTGTTTGTGGCCCGCAGGTCCCCCCTTGCCTTGTTCGTCCGCCTCCTCCACCCCCCCTGAGCACTCCCCTTCTCCCCCTCCCTCGCCGCCCGCCAATGAAGGCCCCGGGCTGTTGCGGGGCAACGGCGCGGCCCAGCCGGCCGCGGACTCTGACTCTGAGGAAGAGTTTATCCCAAATTCCTTCTTAGTTAAAAGTGGCTCTGGAAACCTCTGTGTCGCCGCCAACGGTGAGTGACTTCTCTCTACCTACTTGATTTCCTCGGCCGACGGCCACCCGCGGGGGGCTGGAGGGCAGCCGGCGCGCGTCTTCGCCCATCGGCTGGGGTTCGGTGGTGGTATTTTATTTTATTTTTTGCAGAAATGATAGCATCGTGTGGGAGGAAAGGGGGTAAAACGTTAATAAAGCACCTCGGAAAGCATGCAAAGTGTTGCGTTGGAAGCGTCCTTGCTGTGTGGCTGAGGTGAGGGAAGAGCTTGGTACCTAGGCAGAGAGCAGAAACTTCAAGTGCATTGAAGGCTGGAGCTCCCTCCCTTTCTTTTTTTCCATTTTTTTCATTTTTTTTACCCCCTTCTCTGCCACCCCTGCTGTCTGTGAGGGCGGCAGTGCTGAGGCAGAGTGCCCTTTGGCCTGTCAGAAACCTGTCCCCAAGGGGATGCAGGAGGGAATGCCGAAACGCCAGAGCGGCTTTCGACTCCCGGTGAGCTGTGACAGCGGCATCTGCGCCTTGCTCTCAGTCTCAGAGCCTACAGGAGGCTTTCCACAGCCACATCCCCTCTAAGAAGTGCTGAGAGATGCCTCCGGTAAGTATTTGAGGTGGCAGCACGGCCCCTGCGATGCCCCGAGACTCCCCAGATGGGAGCTGAGGGTGCTCAGCACCGCCGGGAAGCGACCGTGCTGCTCCAGCGAGTTGCAAGAAGAGGAATGAGATTCACAGCTCCCTGCCGCAAGACAATGAGTCATAAACAGCGAGGTAACGCTCATTGGCAAAGAAATGTGAGATTTCATCAAAGGTAGTGTAACCTGACGAAGCGCAGATTACAGCAGTGGAATAGCCGTGGCCACTCAGGCCGCTGCCATCCCGCTTGAGTGATAATTACTCACGGGTCTGATTTATGACGAAGGAGAAGGCATTCAAAGATATCTTGAAAGAGAGAAAGAAAGGTGAGAGAGAGGTTTACTGCAGCTGGCAACAGCTTAACTCCATTTATGTTAAGCTTCTAAGAAGGTTTCCTACTATGCTGTTATCTCCAAGTAAGGAGAGAAAGTTTGACATTTAATTTGTCCCCCTTCACCACCACCCCTTTCCCAGCTTCCCTCTTCTTTTCTTTTGTTGCATTTGTTATGGTAAAAACAAACTTTCCCTTCAAGGCTTTTCAAAGGAGAAGGTTATCTCCTCTGAATTGTCATCCTAAGGAGAGTAGGGGGAAATACAGTGTCGTATTCATTCAGGAAACTGCTTAAAATTCATATCCTCTATTCAGCTTTCCCCCTCCCCTCCCACCCTGCAGCACACACACACATACATCTGACTCCTTGCAGTTGCAGCACATTTAAATCTGAAATCATGTAGATGACACTCTTGTTGGAAGTGAAGCCAAACCCACACTCATGCTTCAACATCATAACGTGTGTTCTTTCTCTTTGTTCATTTAGGGAATATATATGTACACATACACGCATGCCCTCCAGGTGAAAGGAGGGGAGAAAAAGAAAGCAAGTGAAATTAAAGACCTTAATCTCTTCTTTTACTAATTAGCTGAACAACAGAAAAAGCATTGTTCGGAGTCCGTGGTGGGTTGACGACAGTATTGTATTATTGATGTACTGGTGAGCTTAGTTGGAGTTCAGGCTTTTCAGCTGCCTGCTTATTTATCCTCCTCCTTTTTTTCCTCGGTGCTTTTTGCATCAGCTTGTAGACATACTACTTTCCCTGAGGCTTCTTTTTGTGTGGGATTCAGCAGGTTGGCAATAAATATGTCCCACACAAAGACAGGGTGTCTGGGGTCTCATTTGCGTGGTTGTTTTACTTGTTCAATAATCAGAAGCGAAGGTAATGCCAGCACACTGGTGACGTGGTAGGATCAGCTCAGCATCAGGAGAAAAACAAAGATGACTTCTTATGCCACCTGTCAGCCCATAATCTGAGAGTTCACAGGAATGAGAAGCACAGACCATACAAGCCCATCATGGCTAAAGCCAGATAGATACTCTCCTGACCTCTGTAAATAGATTTAATTGCTTTAGTTCCTTAACGTTCTGTTTCTATGAGGCTTAGTCAGCTTAAACTTTAAATGATAAAGGCAGCTCTTTATGTTCCTTAAATGGTGAAAATTAGGAAAAGCTTATTTTGTTTAGGACTAAGTTTAATACAGTTAGAGCACTCATTCTAGGAGAATAGTAGCTGTCTCAACAGCAGGACAGCCTGAGAATGCTGTCCAAAGGATTTGTGTTGCACTTTTTAATTGATTGTGGGTAGGTTTTCCTTCCACAGCTGTGTAAACTCAGCCTTAGAGAAGTCCATCCAAAGTAAGTAACACCCAGGGAGCAGCGCTGCTGTTACAAATCCCCATGTAAATTGCAAATATAATGCACATGGAACATAAGAAACATGCTACTTTTTGAAGATACAGTAGGCTATTTTTTATCTAAGTTTCTTTGATTCCAGAAAGGTAATAATGTCCGTAACATTATTTCTGTGCTCGCAGGAAAATGTCCAAGTAAACATTCAGATAAAGGATGGAACAATCTAATCAGTAGATAAAAATGCAGGCGTCTTTTAGGTCTTTTTAATTTTGTATTGGATGGATTACAAGCCTTTTTTATACTTTTAAGGGAAAAGTAAAAGTCATTTGGAACACAAAAAATCCCCAATTCTTATTATATTTATATCGACAGGTGCTTAAATATAAGAAAACAAAAGTAAAAAAAAAAAAAAGTAAACTTTTAAGACTTGTATCTTTTCACTTATTTATTTATTTATTTATTTATTTATATCTGCTCCAGAATATTTTGTTGTTGTTGTTTTACCTGAAATTTTACAAAGTAACTAGGATGTGAATGTCTCTATTTCAGGGTATTTCCTTTCATAAACCTTCAAATGGAAAGCCTGATGTGGGGATTCACTATTTGAAAAGTAGGCTGCCTTAGGGTGTCTTGGTGGGCATTCAAACTTGCTAATTAGTTTTTAAGGTTTTTTATCAATCCACTATATGTGTATACTGGTGTCTAGGTATGTATGTGTATGACTGATGACAGAAGGCATCCAATCCTTGCTCTGATTGTTTCTATGAAAGTAAAAAGTGCCCTGTAGGGTAAGAACAGCAGTCCATGTAGCCTCCAACAGCACCACTGGGAGGAGAAGTGCAGAGGGGTTCCTGGAGGATGCTGACTGGCTGGGAATGGTCAAACTCCAGCCAAAGAGAGGGATCTAAAGGGTAATGATTGGCTGGAAAACAGCATTTCATCTCCATTTGAACCAGTAAAAAAGATGAAAACTAATCCCTAAAAACCCAGTGTGTTTAGGGAATGGTGTTTAGGAAAAGCACGTCAGCCTGGCCACTGCTGTCCACGTCCTGCATCACCGCAGCTGTGTTCCCAGGGATGTTAGCGGGTACATCACCACTCAGCACACCTCTGAGGTGGGGACACGGCAACAATCCCCACGGAGAGATGATGTGCAGAGTGACGAAGAACAGATTTTGAAAAATAGATGACATCTGTGGAGAGCTGACATCTACATTCCTTTGAGAACGCTGACCGTGCCGCCTCGCAGTCAGAGCCGAGGTGCACGGCCTCTTCCAGCTCTTGCATCAGTGAGCAGCCATTCGATGCAAAGTGTGCTTTTGTCATTCTGGGGGGTCTGCTGTGTTTCCCTTGTCACTCGTAGCAGGCAGGCAGGGAGGCTGCGTGTAGGCATTTGCAACTGACCTCCACAGCTGGGAGCCAGAAAATCCCAAATCACCTCTCTTTTGGGGCATCTTAATATTCTCGCATGGAATTTCAGAGGCCAGGGCATGGGTTTTATTTAATTCTAGCAGAAGCAAGGAGATAGTAGGAATTAAGGTTGGAAAAGAGCTCCCACATCATCTCATCCAACCGTCCCCCAGCCACCAGTAGCACCCACTAAACCATGTCCCTAAATTTGCCTTGGTAGTGGAGAGGAGGGAAATGGCACACACATAAACATTCCTGGGTCAGATCCTAGGAGATGAGTGTGAATGTCATAGGATCCCTGATTTCAGTGCAAAATAGACCCAGTCAGGACCACTTTGTCCCCCAGAAGACAAAAAAAACAAACCCACAACACGCTGTTTGTGTTTATGGGGTCTACACGAGCAAGCTGTGGCTAACAGAAGCTGCGGTCAGGGAGCTAGTGCAGATTCATGTGCTGCCTTTACCAATTTGTCTTTGTTCAGAGTGCTGGATTGAAGCAGGAGGTTTCCCCACAATCTTTCTTCTTATTCCTAACTGAACTGACCCAGTCTAGACCTTCTGATTTGTAAGCTGTGTACTGTTTTCTGCTTAGGATTTTTTTTTTATCTTTAATGATCAGCCTTGAGCTGTTGAAGACGATCATCATTTCTAATTTACCTCCCATTCCCGTCCTTCTGAAAGAACTTTCCACCTCTTTATTAAATGATGTGGCCCAGATTTATGAGACAAATCCTTCCCAGAAACGCTGTTGAGGACTACTATAGCCTTACTCATGTTCTCTCAAACAGATAAGTTTGGTAGAAATTGTGGGTTCCTGACACTTTACAGTGCCTAACTGACCAGATTATCTACTGCTACTGCTGCTGTGGCTGAATTCCTTTGGTATCTAAAAGGAGGTAATCCTAGAGAAATACAGGGCAGTTTCTGCCCAGATGAACAGAGGGGTTTTAATCAATCTATGCATGGGCTCAATGTTTATTTTGTTAGTACCCTTGATGCATTTGGGGCTGCACAGTTCATACGTGCAGGCCAATCCTGCCTGCAGGGTTAGGTGCTCACAGCACTGGGATGGAAGAGACAGCCGCAGAGAAATCAGACTGCAGCAGGGAGCCCCAAAGACACAGCGTATTAAAGCATTCGTAAGAAAGAATGGTGTCATGTAAGGCTGCTTAGAAGTGGAGAATTTTCAAGGATCTGACTGAGGACAGCAAAAGAACCTTTGATAATGTAATCTTAATAATTGATTATTTCTTCATCTAATAATTAATATTAAATCCCAGTTTAATTCAATTT